AAAAAAAAAAAAAAAAAAAAAAAAAAAAAAAAAAAAAAAAAAAAAAAAAAAAAAAAAAAAAAAAAAAAAAAAAAAAAAAAAAAAAAAAGAGTTCAAAAAAATCTACTTCATAAATTCAACAATAAAGAGGTTCTGTTAGATCTTGGACCCTTGGAAGAAAACAGAGGTTTTGAACAGATCACCAAAAAAGCTGTTTTCTAGCCTTGGACTAGTTCTGAAGAGAATTTGTTTTAGATAGCAATCTGTAACAGTCAACTGAAATTATCCCTCTTTCTGACCCAAAATAAAATAAACAGTATTTCTGGTGAGGAAAGAAGGTCCCTTCCGAGAGCTGTGTCAATCTGAAGAGCACAGCCAAAAGAAATGCTGGATATTGTCCAAAAACCTGATGTAAGAAATCCCCAAATTGTGAGTGTACTTTGTCTTCTGCTCAGTCGCCACGACCTTCTGATGAAAAAAAAAAAAACAACCTTAAAATAGTTCAAGAACCACAAAGCAAAACATCACAGTATCTTGGCATAACGACTTTGCAGCTGTGCACTGCTGCATTACTGGTAATGTAATATTTATTGTCATGCATGTTCTCCTTTTCAACAGTGCAGCTGACCAATGTTACAGCTGCAGGATTTGGTTTAGGAGCTTCCCCTTCCAAGCCTCCTTCAAATGTATGGAAGTTCATTTCAGCAGTCACAAAGATTCATATTTACCACATACTGTCAAGCAAATTAAGATTTTTGAAGCATAAACATTGGTCACATTTCTCTATTTACATTCTGAAATTCCTACATTTTTCCTTCTTTGTGTAGCAAAATGATACTTTCTTTGAATATTTAGGTAGAAATGCAACCACGTTCGAACAGAAATATTTGCCATTAACTACCAATGTTCCTTCGTGTTGTTCTTTCAAAAGATTATTTAAATGCTAATATAAGGAAAATGAATGCAACTGGCAGAAAGAACGTGAGACAGTGGAAAATCAAGATTAAATATTGCAGTAAATAAACTCTGTGGAAAACAGTGTTTAGCCCATTATTAAATCAGGTAAATTTGTCAGAAGTATCCTAGAAATTAATGTGCTTTCAACTTCCCTTAACCAGTAGGGCACTTGCTTTTAAAGAGTACACAGATAAGACAGTCTTTTTTTTGTACTTAAACTGACAAGCATTTCTTAAAAAGTTAAACATTGCTACACACAGGAATAAAA